TGAAGCACAGAAAACGGGTGAATGAAAGAATCCCAATACGGAAATGATAAACGAAATGGAAGTGAACTGCCAAGACAAAATGAAAACCCCCAGAAGAGGTGAAAGTATGTTTAAGAGGGATAGAGATGTTAAGAAACAAAACGGGAATGAAACAGTCTGAAAACATAATATAAAGGGTAGTATAAGTACATACAACTAAAATCTGAAGGAATAAGCCAAAAGGCTTCACTAAAGCTGAAATATTAAGAAATGTATGAAATGTAAGAGTATGAAACAAAACGAAATGAAACAGAAATTTGGCAACTATTGAAGCATATTTAGTAACAACTGTCAGCTCAAAGGGTAAAAAGTTCAGCAACAGGAAAGTCAACTGGAGCAAACGTTCGATGAGATTTTTTTTCTTATTTTGTAAAATTTATTGACAATTTATGACTGCGCTATTTGAGACATTCACAATTGAATTCACAATTAGATTGTAAGATTTGGGAAACTATTCGAAAACATTGACGACTGTCTGGAGACATGATTGAGGGCGTGGACCCCCGCTGTAACCCCGTTCGGAACGAACTTTACACACAAATCCATTAACATTAGAGCGAATGAGGCACATTAAATGGTAATAAAGACGAACTTGAGAAAGAAGGAAGAAAAAGAGATGGAGTGCAAAAGTATTTGAATTTACAATGGCCCAAAATGTGCTGCCGAGAGTTCTACGAAAATGTCTCAAGCTGAAAATGGAACCAAAAAAAAAAAAAACAGAACCCAGCGAAACCTCAGAGCTCAGACACAGGCGATGGCCACAGCTGATAAATTCATTAAATGCCTCAACGAGACCGAACCAAAAAAAAAAACACGCAAGAAGGTCTATATTCGGCGAGCCGAAGATTGAATACTCTTGCGGAGATGAGTCTCGGATAGGCTTCTAAACGAGAGCCGAATCATAAGGTACAGGAGAGCCTTCCATCGATCGATTTGTCCGATCGACTTCTAGACGGATAATTTTATAGTCTAGCTTGGTATAACTAATAAATGCCAAGGATTATCAGGATATTTCGAAAAAGATAAAAGTTCCTCATACAAGAATTTAGGACTGGCAGCTATATGATATAGTGCCCCGATTCGGAAAGTTTGCATTGAAATTGAGTTTTAGAAAGAGAACAGGACTAAATCAGCTTGACTTTAGATACAGATCAGGCGTCACTACTTTCATGACGAAATTAAAATACCCTTTAGTAGGGCATGGAAAAAAGTGATGCGACAGGGCGAGGGATACTTACGACGTTCGGGAAATCGGACAGCAAAGACATGCACTGAAATTCAATACCTTTTTTGAGGGATGATGTTGTCGTTGTTGTAGTTGTTGTTGTTGTTGTTGCATTGTGTTCCTAGTTGCTATTATTGATGTTGCCTAGTGTCACTATTGTTGTTGCTGCTGTGCTTCTTCTTCATCTCGTGCGGGGTTTCAGTGCAGCTCTCTCGGAGTTAACGTACAAATGATTTTGATTTCAATTCGCTTTTTTTTTTTGCTGCTGCTGCTGCCCCCTCAGCAAGAACAACTATAATAATATTTTTTTCTATACGATACAAACGGAGCACTTGGGGTAGATGGGCTGCCATGTGTGGAGTTTATTGTTACAATGTTTCGTTAATGCACAGCAACGGCTGCTGAGAGCTAAGGAAGGAGTCCGGAACTATGACCGAGAGCGAGGCCGGGGATACCAGGCGATACGGGGGCGATACGCAAAGCACAAGCGTGTACGGGCAAAGTTTTGCGGCCAATTGTTTGTGGACAATGTTTGGCTTCTTTGACCAGGCAAAATAAAACATGAAAATAGCGCTGGCCTAAGCCGGCACGCCCCCCTTGCCGACCCCTCGCCACAGGCTGGCAATTGTTAGAAGCTTGTGAATGGCAAGTTAATAAATTCAAAACACTTGAAATTTCATTTTCGAATATTAAATTTCCAAAGGCGAACCTTAGTCAAAAGGAAAAGCAATAGGAAAAATGCCAAGCGAGCGTGTGGGTAGCCCACAGTAGACAGCGTTACTCTGTGGCGTGTGGCATGTGGCATGGGGCAGGAGTTGCCACGGAGCACGAGGTGTGGCCGATGGGCGTGTGTGTCAAGGAGTCTCGGAGCGCATTTACATATGAATAGCTGCTGGAAATCAAATGAAAAGCGACTAGCCTGAGCAGGAGCCCGAGACGGGGCCACAGGCACACACACACTCATCTGACATGTGGCCCCCATGCAAATCATAGGCGCACACACTCTGCCACTTTTGGTGGCATCCACTATTCTAGAATCTCGTGCTCAACGCTGGCGCAGTCGGAATTGCCAGTGAAGTATTAATGGCAGCATTTGAATAACAATGCAACCATCGCCAAATGCTGTGGGTGCCATTGGCAACGAGGACAACGGCAAAGTTTTCGGCAGCGGCAGCAGCGAGTGGGCGGGGCAGGTTGCAAGTGGCGACAAGTGGCCCCAAAAGTGAAAGGCCAATTTGTGTTGCGTTTGGTCAGGTGTCAGGCTGCGAGCGTCTATGATTAGCGACTGCTTCCGAAACTTGGCTATCTCCTCGTGCTCCTCTGGGCTGTCAGATCGACAAAAAGGTGCACACAAATCAGAGTTTGCACCTTAAAATTTCATTAGATTCTTAGTGCTGCGCAGTGCAGATATACAGAATTGTCTAGTTCCCAAGTTATAGGCGGTCAAAGTGAATCGGAACAACGAGGTTTCATTAAGAACTCACATTAAGAGTGTTATAAAATATAAAGATAGTTTGTATTATGCTTAAGCTATTAGCTTTTTATACCCTGTACCCATTGAACATGGGTAAAAAGAGTGGAGCATCGACGACCCCATAAAGTATATATACTCTTGATCAGCATCAATAGCCGAATCGATCGTTCTTTCTGTTCGTCTGTCCGTCTGCCCGTAAGTATGAACCTATAAGAGCTAGAGTAATTTTGCACGTAGGTCCTCCTCGATAACTTGCCCCATTCTCAAGCAATCGATAATAATCGATAGTGAAATTCAGTTTTTGAGCAAATCTCTTGGGTTTTAAGCATCAATTTAGTCTACAATATCTCATTTATAGCCAAGACCAACTGTTGTTATTTCTAACTTCTCACTTTTTCATTATTTTTTCTACATGTCAAAACAAAGAAAAAATATAATTTGATATTTAATTACAATGTGGCTAACTAATTGCTGAAGAAATATTTCAAACATAGGTTAATATAACTTTAGAGAATTGTACTTGGAAACTACTTTAAAATGAGATGATAAGCAACCCCGATCAGATTATGAACAGTTGGCTGGATAATTCTTAAGCTGGTTAGTTTTAAAAGCTGATTTGCGAGCAGCTCAATGAAGGATCCATGTGTGGGATCCACTTTGGACTGTTGCCGAAAACTTGTCTGCGGATTGTGCGAATGCATTTAATTCCCATTGGATGCCTGTTATTAGTGTCTCCTCTGTCTGCGCCGAGTTGAGGCACACACAGATCCCGAAAAAGTCAACACTCCCTCAACGCAAAGGTTGCGTTCGTCTGGCTGTTGTTGTTGTTGCTCAGTTGATTTCTCGGAACATTCGGTCGTTCCACTATGCATAATCAGCATTAAAAAAAAAGAAATTCAACAGAATTTCGCCAAAGCGAAGAATTCATTTAAGGCTAAATCGAAAAGAAAAAAAAATAATGAATACAATTTTTAAGGCCACATCGAAATATGCAAACGTCATTTGGCTGCCGTTAATTATGGACGTGTCTGGACAAAAGAATAGCATAGTGCAGCGATCTCTTGCTTTGATTGTGAACATATCACTATTGTGACATGGTTACCATTTAATACGGATCTATCAAATATATAACAAGTAAGAGGTTCTAGTCGGGAGCTCCCGAATAGGGGATACCCTGAACCCTCTTCTTCCAACATCAAATGCATATATATATTCTATTTTAGAAGCTATATGTCAAGTTTGGTGACTCTAGCTCTTATTATTTACCAAAATTACCCAAAAAACAGGATATCGATATCGATTTTTATCGATTGCTTGGAAACGGAGTACGTTATCGATTATCGGAAACAAACTCGATCTGCGCGGGAACTAGGAGCATCTACATCTAAATTTTCTCTAGCTCTTATAGGTTCTGAGATCTTTGCGTTCATACATACGGACGGACGGACGGACGGACAGACAGACGGACATGGCTAGATCGACTCGGCTATTGATGCTGATCAAGAATATATATACTTTATGGAGTCGGAGATGCTTCCTTCTGCCTGTTAGATACATTTGCATTTTGCACAAATACAATATACCCTTATACCCATTTTGAATGGGTTCAGGGTATAAAAAGAATGGGATGTATGTTGAAATAAGTCTGCGCTTTCATCTGTTATTTGGCTAGGCCATAGAGTTCTTATACTATAAAGTATAGTAAAATGAACTAGTTCGTAAACATTTTACACTTAGCATTCCGGTTTAGCCTTGTCATGCAGCCATGTCGCAATGCTTTATTTGTACTATTTACTTTTACTAAGCCTTAAAGGTAAATAAACGCTCATCGTTTCGCTCAGCTCTAATAGGTCCTACATATATCAGGTGTACGTAGCCAGGTCCATAATTGTGAAAGATATTGGAATGTTAAATGTGGGACTATCAAGTGTGGCTATATCTGTACAGATGACCTCATTACCTGAGCCAAGACCAATGACGATGACTGACAATAAATGGCGCCCTTTGGTCGTCAAATTGTTGCGTAAGCGCCATGGAAGTGTGATATGGAAACATGTATTCTAATATCGATATATCTGTATCTATATGGGAATATCGTATATTAAACAAAAATATTGCTTCCTTTTGATTATGCTTGTCAATACTGATGCATCTGCTCACCGGAAACTCACATCTAAACGAAACAAAATGTGGATATATCTGTCAGGCGTGTGCTCCTAGATCCGATTTTTCTGGAAACCTCAAATCGGGCACTGCTGCGGCCTGTGTGTTGTTCCCATAATGATGATCGCCATATTTCAAAGTCTTTGACTCTTTTTATATTGTGGACACAAGACAATGATCTGGCAGTTGGCTATCATAATTAGAGAAATATCCATCGAGACAGTAAGACATTGGAATTTAAAGTTTTTGGAACCCAAAACATTGTCGATATGTGTCAAAAAATAATGAAAAAAAAAAGCAAACAGTATTTTCAGATTTCAAGTTGTTAAATTTTTTAGTAAATAATGGTGAGTTTCTATGGTATAATTCTGGCAAAGATCGTCGTCTTGTTCCTTGTGCCTGGTAAGTGTGGCCCCCCTTTTGGCTGGCGGCAGACCTCACGAACTCGAGAGCTCGGCAACTGCTGAACCCATCGTCTCTCCGTCTTGATAGGTCTCGACAGTCAGTGCTATGATTGCGCCAAGGCGTGGAAAACAAAGTGCAATGCAAGTCAACCCGGATATTATTGCATGTCGGGCGCCGAAATATCAAAGGTCCACTTGACGTCCGAACAATTCGCGACCAGCACACCAGATCCCACAAAATTGTTTTCAGACTGTTCGCCCTATCCGCTCGATGTGGGTGCGTATCTATATCTTTACCTATATCTATAAATCTATGTATCTATATATCTATATATCTATATATCTATATATCTATATATCTATATATCTATATATCTATATCTATATATCTATATCTATATCTATATATCTATATATCTATATATCTATATATCTATATATCTATATATCTATATACCTATATATATATTCATCTTTATATCTATATATCTATATGAATTTTAGATTATATTCAACAATGGTGCTGCTTTTGGTCTGCTAGTATAGGCTGCCAGGTTGCCATGCATCCGCAGATATATAAGTCTGGACATCCGTCTAGATTTTGTGACTTCTGCAAGGCAAAATGTATCTGCAGAGGTCTGTCAGTTCTGGGTGTACAGCAGCCCTGGCATTGGACTTATCTGGGCTGCATGACGTTATTGATGCATCGTTTTTTCTGATATTTCCCATAGAGATATTGTAAAACAGAAGTACTGTAATTTTCCTTGTATGGTATATAGCGATGTGAGTGCACACAGGCTGCATTGTGTAGAGTATGTTGCGGGCAATGCCGGGTAACAGCAGCTTGAATATATGTATACAGATGTATTAAATGCCAGTTCCAAAGTTGTCAGCCATAAAAAAATAGTTTTTTATTTACTTTTTTTTCGCTTGTAGTTCACGGCCATTTCAGGTTATGAACGTCTGAAACGACGTGGGAAATGGAACAAAATGAAGCTGCCAATACAATTGAAATGAAACAATAAGCGGAAATAGCCAAACGGCCCGGAGTGTGTCTGTGTGTGTATTTAAAGTGGAATATGAATACGCAAAAGGCAAATGAAAAGTAAAACCAAAAGCAAAGGCAAGAAAAAAAATGTCGTAGGCGTTGCCACTTTTTGTTCTGTGCGTGCGTGTGTGCGTGTGTGTGTGCGTGCGTGTCTGTGTGAACTACATTTCACTTCACTCGTTTGTTTATTATGATTTGTATTTGAAATCGTATTCGTATTCTTATTCGTATTCGTATTAGTGCATTTGTGTGTATGCGTTCAGTTATTTGTTTATGCTCCGCGTTCGTGTTGTCTGTGGTCAGTTTCTCAGCTCTATTGTCGTTGAAATGTCGCGACGCTTCGCATTGTTTACGTTTATGAGTCGTGCGGAATACGAAGAAGAAGACGTCATGGAACAACTGTTTATCGGAACGCGCAATCAGATTCGAAATGTCTGGCAATGGGAAATGCTCACAAGGGGAATGAAACACGTTGCAGGTGGTTTTTTAATACCGTTTGCTTATCGGTGTCGATCGCATGGGATTTATTTTTATTTTTTTAATTAGTTTGCAATGAAATGAAGTGTAAATAAACACTATTGGACTTTGAAATGCAGCAGAGTCTTTTTCGGCTCCGACTTAAGTGCTCTGAGCGTAAAGAATATTTATTTTGGTGGAATTAAGAGTAGTTGGCTTCTCGGAAGGCAAAGGTATTATGTATTTTACGTAATTGATTGCATGCTACATTTTTCTCAGGTCCTTTTTCACAGGTTCCCATCAAAGTGAACAATGCAGTGTTGCCACCCTCTCAACTCTAGCCTGCCTCTTGTTAGTTTGGCAAATAAAAAAGAGTTACTCATGGCATTTAGACAAAGTCCGTACGACTTACTTGCTGAATAATTGAATACATTTAGCAGTTTATTCATTCATGTGTATTGCCTGCCCCATATGTGTTGTATAATGACACACATTTGACCGATATACCGGCAATTATCTGTGATAACTGGCCGTTGTCACATTTAAAATATTTATGAGTTGCCAACTTGCAATTATCTTCACCTGCTTGCGGGGTTTCCATTCAATTTTAGTACTTTGCTCTAAATTGAAGTTATTGAATTTCTTATGAGATGGCACCGTCGAGGGCAGTATAAATTTTAAATTGCCAGTAGTTATTTATTTTGAGTTAATCATAGAGACAGCTCTTTTGCATACTTTAGATTAGATTAGATATTAGGCAACTATTATTTTAGCCAATTTTCTATAATTAGATGTAATTTTTTAACATAGTGGCAACGCTCACTGAACGTTTTTTGATCTATGCTTAAATAGGGTTGCCAGCTGGTAAAATTATTTCATGTTCCACATAAACATATTGACAACCAGAGTTTTCATCTCAAATATTGAAGAAATTGAAAAGTTGATTAGAGAAATGTTTAAGGTTAAGTTAGAGGCTTGCTTTTAGCTTTTATATCCAGCACAGGCATATTGCTAGCCAAGTTGACAGGTAAACACAACTGTCACCCCATGTGAAGCCCTGCAACTAATACCAATTGCAAACTCCAACCCCGATGCCTAACCCTCTGTCAATCTGGGGGACACTATGGACTAAATGACACTATGCCCACTAGAGCTATGTATTTATTTCCCCGACAATTTGTTGTCGTGGGGTGCATCTAATGAAATTAAATGTATCAAAGACAGACACAGCAACAACTGAGTAAACACAGCAGCTGCGCAGGGAGTGGGTGGTGCTGGTTGGGGGCTGGAAACTTGAACTGAAGGCGAGCTGAAATCGTTGCCGGCCAATACACTTGAGTGATTGAACATCAAGAGAAGTTCAGGACCAGCAAACAGCGGCGAGTAATCAGCGCCGAGGCAACCAGAGCCCAGCAACAAGAGGCAGCAGCTGGGGCAGGGGGGGGGGGGGGGGGGTCTGGGCAACCGTAGAACTGGGAAAACTGGCGGAGTCAAGAACTCGGACTGGGCCACTAAGTGAGAGAATGTCCCAAGACTGTTTGGTACGTGACTAGGAACATTATTGTTTGCTTATCTACACTTAATTGCTTCTGGCTACACTTAATAATATGGTATTGCACACACACACACACTCGCACACACACTTTTACACTCAGGCAATAGCCACAACGTCATCGTCTCTTGGTCTTACGGCTCTCGTCATTGTGGTGGCCGTGGCTAAAGTTGCCTGTTGCCCCCGCCACGCTCCGCTCTGCTGCTGCCGCTGCCGCTGCCGCTGCTGTCAGAGCCCGCCTCCTGCTTCAACTTGTCGTCGTCTTGAGGTAGGGGCAGAGGCGGCGCGGGTGCGCTGCGTCGCTGTTGCTGTTGCTGCTGTTGTTGCCGCCTTGGCCGCATTGTTTGTTCAGTTTTTATACCCTTATAATTTGTATCATGCCTGACAGCAAGCATTTGCTAGGTTAAGTCCATATATGCTCCTGATCTGATATTTACAGGCAAGTTGATATAGTCATAATTCCCTTTCTAAAACTCAATCTAAGCTAACTTTTTTATCAGTACTGATATGTTGAATATAATCGGCAGCACCCGAAAAAATAATATTATATTATATAGTTGTCATAGCAAGGATCAGATGGAACTTTTTTTGTTTTTCAATATATTCCAAACTTTCCATTTATTTGTCATTGGCTTATTATTAAATATAAGCCAAATCTCACGTTTAACTACATCAAACTACATCATACTACATCATACCACATCATACTACATTATACTACATCATACTACATCATACTACATCATACTACATCATACTACATCATACTACATCATACTACATCATACTACATCATACTACATCATACTACATCATTTAACATCATACTACATCATACTACATCATACTGCATCGTACTACATCATACTACATCATACTATATCATACTACATCATACTACATCATACTACATCATACTATATCATACTACATCATACTACATCATACTACATCATACTACATCATACTACATCATACTACATCATACTACATCATACTACATCATACTACATCATACTACATCATACTACATCATACTACATCATACTACATCATACTATATCATACTACATCCTACTATATCATACTACATTCTACTATATCACTGAGTTTCTTTTTCCCTTAATATCTTGACCGAAATCCATAAATTGTATAACTACACAACCTTATTGAATCGTACTACTATATATATCAAGCCTCATGTCTGGCAGGGTATTCAAGCTTCGGCGTGCCGCAGTTAGCCGTTTTCTACTTTTTCACTTTGCGTTGGTCTTCGTCATCGCCTTGCTTCTTCTTGTTTATTTTTTCTTCTCTTTATTCAGCTTGAGATTTGTTGCACCATAAAAAAAAGGTGGGCTAAAGAGGGGGTTTGGCAGCAGGGTTTTGAGCTTCTCGGAGATTTCTGGTTGCCGCCGACCGAGTCCATGCGGCATCGCCTAGTCAGCGAGCTGGGCTATTTGTTTGCCGCGTTGCTTTCTGTCCATTCGTGCGGCTGTCTTCTTGCTTTTCCATTTTTTTTGTGTGGCATGAAAAATTTCATTGGAATTGGTTTTTATTGTGGGCCTCGTCGTTTTGATGGATTTTCGGTAGGTACAAATTGTCTGCTGCTAATGGAGCATGAGGCACTTGCCTGTCCATGTGTGTGTGTGTGTGTGCTAGGGTGTGTGTGTGTGTGGGTTGCTTTATCGCATCAAATTTTGTGGATTTTCCGACAAGGATCATTAAGTCACTGAAAGATCTAAGCAACTCGACTGATGTGCCAGTTAGACTCGCTTAGGCTGACCCGCGGGTTCAAAAGGTAACTTTGACAGGTCGACCAACATTTTATTAGGCCTGTTTTCCAAGTATTTGTTTCTGGTGCTTTCTGAAAGACTCTTAATATGCTTTAACAAGTCTTTCAGTGCTGACAACTTGTTGTTTAAGGAGAATTGTTTTACTGGAGTTGGCTTCAGATAATTTTAGTTTCCAAGCTTAGAGAAAATTCTTTTAAACATTTCATCTCCGACCCCATAAACTATATATATTCTTGATCATCATCAATAGTCAAGTCGATCTAGCTATGTCCGTCTGTCTGTCCGTCTGTCCTCACGTCCGTCCGTATGTTTGAACGCGTCGTTCTCAGAACCTATAGGAGCTGGAAACTTGATTTTGAAGGTAGGTCCTCCTAGTGCCCGTGCACTACTAGTTGTTTGCCGGTCGAATATCATTATCGAAACCCTGCCTGCAAATCTGAGTAAATCTCTCAGGTTTTAATGGTGAGAGCCACAAAATTTGACATGTAGCTTCTCTATACTGATAGAACATACAGATTTGGTATCTTTCTTTCTATAGCTTTAGAAAAACATGTTCTTGGTTTGGCTCCCAACTAGTTTGATTGGTTTGAATAATACTTTATATTATATTTTATAATTAATTTAGTTTCTAAACGGGTTTTAAGGTGCCTATCTTTATCTTTAAATAATTAATAATGGATTCCAATCATATTTGAATAATTTAGCAAATACTTACAAATAAAAGACGGAATAGATAAAACTCTAGAGATATTTATATAAATAGTAAAATGTGAGAAATGGGTAAAGCTAAGTTAATGCGAACTTTAAACTCCCAACTCATATTTATAAAATTGGGAGCTCGTAGTTCAGAGTCTTGCACCAATTTCGAAACGTCGTCCTTCTCTTCTTCTTTTATATAATATCGTTCTTATTTCATAGACTTCATGTGTAATCACTCAAATTTTGAACCAAATATCGAATGTTCGATCAATTCAAGATCTATCCATCAAATCGAACGCAAAAGGCACGCCTCTTCCTGTGGCTTACTTCCTACGTAC